TAAACTGCTAATTTAAACAAATTTATTAATTATGTGATAATTAATAATATTGGGTGGTAAGGGAACAAAGACCACGCTCCAAAATTATTAACTCAATTATATGCTCTGTAGATTACCTGGTAACCTACGTTTTATCCAAATGCTACCTGGGAGTGAGCCTAGATAATACAGTTTAAGTGGAGAATACTAGAGTACTCAAAAGTATGTCAGTGTCCATTCTAAATATGTTCAAAAGCTTCAAAAATATATCAAGGGAGTAGGAATCTAATTTACTGAGGTTCTACCATGTGCTACAAAAACTGTATACATTAATCACATTATTTCACTTAATCCTCTCAAATGCCTTGTGGAATGGGATGATTTTTCCCATATCAATGAATACACTGAAAACTGTACAGCCACATCCATACTTAGAAAATGAAAGAGCAGAGACCAGAACCCACTCTGTCTGACCTCAGAGCCTATTTGCTCTTTCAATTACATCACACAACTTTTTATGATGCCTTCAAGGGATGGTACTAAATTTTACTTTATTTTTAACTGATTTATATATAAAATAGTGTTTAAACACTTTACTTTTTTCTGTTTCCAGAGTCTTATAAATTATTAACTATATTATGAAAGCAAAGATTTACAAGTAGAAATATGACATAAAAAAAAAAACTCTTCAGTTAATCTTTCTGAATTTAAATCATTTTCTTACAATTGCCTGTTAATCTAAATTTGTGGTTTCTTACGGAAGAGCATACATGCCTAACTACTGATGCTTTAAAAATAAAAGTGCCAGAAAACAACCCCCACCTTAAATCTACACTTTATAATTGTATCACAGGCAAAAGGAATCATACATTTTTTAGTGTGTTAGCGTCAATGTATTAGATTTTATCTTAATCATTCTATCAATTTTTAAATTCCCTGTAAACCAATACGACGAAACACATTTTTATTTCCCATGACACTAAATAGAGTAATCTACATATGGTTAAGTACTGAATGTTGGTTAAATGAATGAAATGAGCAGGAAAAAATCTGAAATACCAGAAATTAAGTTCCAACCAAATAGTAGTTACTGTCATTTGTTGACATATAATCATAGCAACAGAAGGCATTGCAAAGATACATAGTATTCCTATTTAGGAGTATGTTCAGTAATGCCCAACTCCAACCTCCTCATTGTTATGAGGGAGTGATAAATTCAGAACATTTATTCTGAAAGAGAATAAAGGCAGCCAGAAAAGGGAAATAACAGGAGAGGGACCAAATGGAACTCTGAAGAAGGTTCAATGTTAAAATAATTTGAGGTGTATTCAAATATTTTCATTCATTGTAAAAAGGTATCCCTATTGACAATATTGAAAAACAAAAGACCATCATCTCCTTAGGTTTACATATCAATCAAGGCCAGAACATCTGTATAACTGCTAATAAGATGTCTGATATAGCCAAGTCAGTGCGGGTCAGTGATTGAGCATCAACACAAGCACAAGGAGGTCACGGTTGGAGTCCCGGTCAGGGCGCACTGCCTGGGTTTTGAGTATGTATGGGGCATGAAGGGGGCAGCCGGTCAATGATTCTCTTTTATTATTGATGGTTCTCTCTCTCTCTCCCTCTCCCTTCCTTTCTGAAATAAATAAAAATATATTAAAAAACTAATAAACAAAAAAGAATATGATAGAAAATACTCTAAAGGAAGAGTAATTGAAAACAAATTTAAGTTTGAAAATACAATCTGTTTTAAGGATCTGGTTGTACTCCACTCAATTCAAAATAATTGTGGAATATTGTACCTAATCATTCTGGACAAGAGACACAAAAAGAATAAATTATATCTGTGCCCCAAGTTTCTAAAGGGACCATCATTAAAACATGTATATAATTCTATAAAAATAGAATTTCAGCCCAAAGTTGTTTTTTTCTTTTCTTAAAACTGCCTTTGCTCTTTAGAGAAAAATAAAAAACTGGAAATTTTTAAAGTAGTCAAGTTCCATTTGGTTTACATGTAAAATAAAAGAATAAAATAAAAATATAAATTACTTAAAACCTTAATGATGCTTTACTATTTTCATAATTCTATAGGTTAGAAAAACAAATGTCTGTGAGAAATAAAAATATTAACATTCAGATATTAACTAATTAGATAATTATGAAGTCACCAAATAGTATTAAGAAACTACTTAAAATTTACACTGTCAATGTAAAATCCCATGCATTATATTAAAAAGGAATGCTGAAATCTAAAATCCCTACACATATCTAGGCAAATTCTCCACCTACTAGTTAATGTATAAGAAGCAATTCTTTTTTAAAAACATTACAAAATTGACATTCCCATGGGCTTTTTAATGTGCAAACCAGGAATCGTAGTAAAAACAGAGACAGGCCTGGACTCAGTTAAGCATTAATATAGTTATTTAGAAACCCTCTAAAAATGAATTTGATTCTGCACTGTGTCCTAAAATACAATTTCAAGAAATAAACTAACTTACTATATATATATATATATATATATATATATATATATATATATATATGAGAGAGAGAGAGAGAGAGAGAGAGGGAGAGAGAGAGAGGGAGGGCGGGCGCCTTTATCCTCTTCATATAAAATCTGAGTTCCTAATTCCAGGTAAATACATGCAAATGGCTTGAAAAAATACTAAATATAAAAATTAGACTTGTAATTTAATAGGTAGATTTGCTTACACATTTTATTAATATCAATAGAGAGAAAACAAAAGATAATGTCATAACTAAGGGATCTTATCCCAATCTCCATTAGCACCCAGAATATTTACTACTTTGTGGTTCTGTTGCAACTAGTATATTTAGTAAAAACTACTTTGTGCCAAATATGGGTAATATTTAAATATAAACATTATTCAATTTTAATTTTGAAATGTTGTTTGCAATTTGCGTATCAATGAAAAATTTTAAATGGTTTTTGTTATATGCAGAAATAGCACTAAAATCTTATAAATGCTTGTTTAATCTTTTATAATTTGAGAAAATTGGTAATCTAAAAAGTAAGAGTACATTTTATAAAATTATTGCATTATTTATGTTTGAATCATTCAGTAGAATATTTGAGAAATATTCTTTAAAATGTTCTAAACATTAAAATACATGCCATCCTTTATAGTACAATTACTCAAAATAAATTAATAAAATAATATTAGTAACAGGAAATATAAAATCCCTATTCACATATTTCTGAGTTAATTATCTAAATGATAAAGAGAACAGATGACTTTTTTTCACTCAGAGAATAAAACTGCTTATCAGGGAACATATTCCTATCTTAAGGTCTTGCTACATGCAAAGTGCCTGGCTTGGTCCGATGCAGAATACAAAAGAGAGCTAATATATCAGTGGAAGAAAAAGTCATGTATGAATAACTACAATTCAATAACTCTGATAAAAGCCATTGAGTAATTCAGAAAAGGAGCCATAGGAATTTGGTTTCAGCTAAAAGGAATGAGGAAAGTGTATCCTCTTTTGATAAGAAGGAAAGATCAAGGAGCTCTATATATATATTTGTGTAGGGGGTGAGGCAGGGAGAAGTAATTTGCTAATTATTAGTGTTCATGATCCTTAATTATTAGGATTGCTGAGCTGGAAATGGGACTGTCAAGGTATAAGGATAAAGATGGAAGAATAAGGCTGGAATGGAAATCGACTCTTGCGGTAGTAATCGCACATAAATTCTGCAATATTAAAATGGCTATGGAAAAATGAAGTATGCTGGGTTCTATAAAGAGCTCTGGCTAAAGATATTGCTGCACTTACCATTGATAAAAATGCCCTGTTCTGCACTGTGATAAAAGCCATGTTATCTATAGAGAGGAGCCAAACAAAATTTGGAGCTTTAAAGTAACTCAAGAATGTTAAAATCCTCAAAGCAACCTCAAAACTGTAGGGAAAATGAGCAGTTATCATGTTTAAAATCTCCACAAAGCTATTAGTAGTACTTAGTAAATCTCTGCTAGTTTAGCGTTTTATATATATATAGTTTAACCTTACATGAAAGTATAAGTCTCTCTTCAAATTATCCAGAGAAGTGGAACAGTCATTAGACCATGTGAAATAATATGCAAGCCGTCTACAATAACAAACAACACATATTCCGAGGATTCATTTCTTGCCACTATTCTATGGGTTTCTTTAGAATGGGAAACAAGTGTGGAAGCAGTCAAGGAAAACTGAATAATTCTGATCTATAAAATCATCACTCAGAAAAATAATTTTTAAAGGCAAAATATGTATTATTTCTAAGAAACACCATCCATCCTCATAGTTTACATAGCATATTTTCAAAATGAATAATCTCAAAGAAATTAATTCTTTCAATTTTAGGCACAAGATGATTTCCCTCAATATTTGCAGTGTAACCTTAAACATATTTTAGGATTTTAAAACATAAAAGCAATATTTTAACACTAAAAAATTAACTGCCATTTAAAGAAAGACTTTAGAGTGTGCATATACCATGATAAAAACTTATCCAATAAAAAAAAAAATAAAACAAAAAGCATGGCTATCACAGAGATCTAAAGAAAATCATTAGCAACATTTTCTCAGCTTTAAATTGAAAAAGTATTGGTATCTAATAAATAAATCTTCCTCTGCCAAATAAGAAATAAAAAATGCATATATCCTAACAAATATGGGTAAATAGGACATAAACAGATATTTCCAGTTTCCATGATCATACACAGAAAAATGTTATTATAATTTTAATCACCTACAAAACTGCAGTTCCATTTAACAAACAACTTTCAGTGTCTGACATTTAAAGAGGAAGGCTTAACATCCATGCTTCACCAGCTCAATGAATATGTCACAACTGCCAATAACAGATACAGCAGCATTTCATTTTACAGTGAAAAGATGCCAGGAAATACGGTTATATATGCATACATACATATATATGCCAACCTCAAACATTTTAACTGTAAAGCAAAAAGAAATTACTGAAGGGGAATATTATATTTTAAATAACTTACCTTTCGTCCATCACTTGCATGGCAATTCACATTGAGAGGAGTCAGTAAAGCCATTAGTTTTTCTTCATTACCACTCCTATAAAAAGGTATGTCATTCTTTCAAAATTACAGAGCTTCTTATGTATATTTATAGATATATTTTCACGAGAAGGAAAATAGTATGGGTTTGCTTTAATTTCTTTCATATGTTTTTAAATGACTCTTTTGCTAAATTCAATTCAATTAATACATTCCTAATTAATTCCTGTTAATCACCATGTAGTAGTACAGCTTGGAAGATCTAGCTTTCTACATTTTTATGTTTTATTTGTCTGCAGAAAGTCACCTTCCTAATTACAAGCAAACTTTATTCTGATAAGTGATCTAAAACACAGGAGTTAAAAATATATACAAAATGCAGTAAAGAGCTAATCAATTAAATTATAAATGAACAAGAACAAAAGAAAATGAATGAGAATTTTAACATTTACTTTATGTCCCTCATTTAAGCTTTTGAAAATTAGAAAAAATTTTAAAGAAACATAAAGGTATAGATATTTAAATACTCTGAGAATATCATTGGAAAAGCCGGGCAACTAAGGTTTGCAGGTACCTTTAGATATGTTCCAAATACAATTAACCTTATAATCATCACCAGACTGAGACTGCCTCATTTAATGCAGCTAATCATGTAAAGTAAAATACACGAAGATTTACTATAAGGTCTTTTCTGCATTATTGCATAAAATCAAGCAAGACGATATCATGTTATAATTTTTACAGTCCTCCACCTGCCCACCCCCTATTCTCCCTTAAACGCATTATACTCACTTAAAATGAATGGAATCACTTACCTAGCAGCTTCTAGGAGTTCGTCTTTCTTGTATTCACCTAGATGATTACAAAATATCATGCTGTTAGCATTTGGCAGAAGACAGATTAAGAAATGCAGTAGGCAGCAAACAGAGAATTAAATAGAGAAGAACAGAAAAAGATAGTCCACACCCCGCTGGGTGATGGAGCCGTGACGTTAGCCAGCTTGTGAAGGCAGCATCACCAGTGCCTTGGAGACGGGCAGCAAATTGACGCAGCTTCTTGTCCAATCCTCAGATGAAGTAGCTTTCTTCAGACAACCAATGAATGCTAAATCTCGTGTCCAGAAACACATTCCCTCTGATAGCAGCATGCCAGCTGAAGACAATACGCCCTCCCCCCTTTTCTATTCAGCCTGTCACAGTATACTTGTGAAGCATAATACATTCTGAGACAAAAGCAAAATAATGTGGCTCTTTAAAGGTACACATTACTTGTTTTAAAAAAAGCTCAGTTTTTTGGTAAAGAGATGGAAAGTTAAAAAACACACATTCATTGCCATTGCTGAGTATTATAGCAGAAGAAGAAAAAAAAAAATCAGAACCCTGAAGCCTTTGCCTGGATAGGGTAGGTCTGGAGACTAGAAATACGTGAACTACGTACCAAATGCTATGGAACCTCTTGGAGGCAGCGCTCCAAAACCCAAAACAGTGAATGCATTTAAATGACAATAATATTCTAACATGCTATACATAATCTTTACACTTTATACAGATCCTGTACCAAGTTATAACAAACAATAAACCTTAAAAATATTTTTAAAAAGCAGGCTGGGGTCTCTGTGAATGAGCAGATATCTAACTATTGAGATGTGAATACATTTTTTCATTTTATTTTTTAATATCACAGACTAGAAAGAGGTATATAATTTAAGACCTTCAATACAAACTTCCCAGGGTATTCAAGATTTAACAAACAAGTTTCTTTTGAAAGCTTAAAGAATAAGAAATTTTAATAGTATAGCGTCTGTTCATTCAATAGAGAAAGAGAATAGCCAAGACTATGATTCAGCTTTAATAGTACATGGGCTCAGTTTGCTATATCTCTGAAGAAATACTTATGTTTAATGCTATTAAGAAATAAGCTTAAATTATATTTATAATCTTACTTATAAATATAGCTTTCTTTGCATTTTGTTTCTGTTTTGCTACAGAATGCAGATTATTAATGCAAACACTGTAAGACATTTCAGGACCACCACGCACATATTTAAGTTCTATAATCCATCACTGCCAAATATTATTTTAGTTTAGATAAGTCTTGCTTTCAAATTAAGATTACACTAAAATCTAAGAACTGTGAAAAGTTATTTTCTAATAAAAAATCATTTTTAAAAAAATCTATTCTTCCCTAAGGAAATTTTATATACCAATAAAATGACATGCTATCAAGCTAGAATGCATGATTCCTGATGATAAGAGTTGGCCTTTCCAATTGCCCATATTTTGCATTCCAGATTCTTTAACTGATTCACAGTTTAAGATTTGTATTATTATATCCCTCACCAATAAAGCTCTTGAGTTCCCAAAACCAAAAACCTATCTTTACTAAACATTTTAGTTGGCAATATGGAAGTTGGTGAGTTAATTTAAAATGCCCCTGTGAAAAAATGGTATAACCCATAATCTCAAACATTTTAAATATCAAGAGCAAAGAAAATCAAATTATGGAATTATCCATAGAAGTCTTTCTTTCAGTGAATGAACATTTATTTGAAAGGCCTATATGCCAGATTCAAAACCAAGAGACACAATAACATCTCTATAGTCAAGGAATATTAGTCTATCAAATGAGACAGACGAGTAAACAAACGATTACAGTAGAGTATAAAAAGATTGGTATAAAGTGCTATAAAGAGCTTAAAGACTAGTCTAAGTGGGAATTAATAAAAGGCAGGTAATTATAGTTCAAGAAAGGTTTCCTGAAAGAGGGGAAACTTGCACAGAGTTTTGAAGGAAGACAGGTGATCCTCAGATAAAGAAGGGCGAGGAGAAGGAAAATGGTAGCTCTGCAAACCTGAAACAAAGGACTTGCAGGGGAATGGGTACGGATGAGACAGAGAAGAATTAGAAAGACCATGAATGACGCTCTAAGAACTCTGAACATTATTTTGAAAGCAATGAGGAAATATTAAAATATTTTAACAAGGGTAGTACAAAGTATATTTAAAGAGCTGCTAAGTTTGTGATTATGTAAACCATTTCTATGCTCTACTCCAGAGAACTACAGTTGGGAAGAAAAGTGGCCCAAAGCAAAGAGGAGGTGGACAGAGTAGAACAATGAATTTTGACATAGTTTATATTTTGGAGTAAATATAAATACCCTTATATATAGTAAAACATTAAAATCGGGGAGTGAAAGTAGCTATTATTGAAATCTAAGTCATAGTGAAAGGTGACTCCAATAGCTAGGTAGTAAAACTGCAAAGTATTTGGGATCTTCAAAGCTAAAATCAGTCTACCTACAGTTTTCTCCAAAAGGCACATTTTTGCAAAAATGGTATTCCTTCATAGATAATAAACCAAGTGTTCAAAAGAAAACATTTACATATATCTGACAGAGTCGGACACAGGTGTTGCAAATGGCTTTCTACTCTTACTGTTAGAGAGCCAAGTACTTTAATCAGCTTTGCTGCAATACATTCCAACATCCACTATCTGGTGCCCAAGGACTACAATCCATAAACAGTATACTATTTTTCAAATGCTACATTGAGCTACAACCAACGTGATGAATATAGAATGTCCTTTACGCACTCTGACAACAAATCTAAACTACTTACTTAACAGCCAAACCACAGGTTCTGTTGCATTTTAGCTGAGAATCTGAAAATATTCTGGCCGAGACTATGGTGCTCTATGGAGCATTTATATTCTTTAATAACATTCAAATAAAGGCTAGCAGTAGATCAGTCAGAAACACAACTAGGCAATTATAGTCAGGATAATAGCAGCCAAGAATGGAGAAAATGGATGGCTTAAAATATTTTTCTTTGATTAGAATAAAATAAATGGAATAAAAGTTAAGCAAGCAAAAAGTTTACTTTCCAAAGTCTGAATTTTTATTATTAATAAACTAATGAAAGGCTACATGTAAAGATAAGCATATATATATATATATATATAGATATATATATAGATATATATATGCGCACACGCGCGCATCACACACACACACACACACACACAACACACAGCACAGTGGGATATAAGTTAATGTGTTAAATAGGTATGTTATCAGTAAGAAGGTTAAAAATAAAGGTTAAAACATAAAGATTAAAAATAAACCCCCCTTGTATTTCTCTGAAGTAGTTAAAAGACAAATTACTTTTTTGAGTAAAAATGAAGAACACCTACACCAATAAATAGAAATCATGATTATCGACATCTCAATTTTAACATTTTAAGGGGCTTCTGACCCTTTCTTCAGCAACTGACAGGGTCAAAGTAGACTTGATTTTGTAAAAATGTTTTGTTGAGGTGGAAGAGCATGGAAAGATTATGATTGTGAAATCACAAGTTCTTAAAGCAGTAAGGAACTAAAAAGAATTATGACCTTTATTTTCTCTACTTTGAAACCATGCATAATACATGCCTCTCAGTAACAACTCTTGTTATATGGCATGAGGGGGGTGTAGTTTGAAAGTCACCTTTCTCCTGTCACCTCACCCCCAATTTCAGTCACTCTCCTAAGGGACCATCTGCAACAGATTCACTTACAGTTAATGAAACTGACACTAAGGCAGTTAAGTGCACTGTCTAAGGTTTCATCAGTATTATTCACTATCTGTTAGGCCCTAAACAAGGCTAATATGTGAGTAAAAATGAAACAGATCTGAGCTTTCAAAGAAGCAATGTAAAAAAAAAACAACAAAAAAAGTAAAAAAAACAAACAAAACAAAAACAAAAAACCCACCACAATAGGAATAATCAATTTTAAAAAGCAACCCCCAAAACTAGCTTTAAATAAAGAAACATATTTATATAAAATAAGCCAAATATTTTCATCAAAACTATATTAAAGCATTGGAGCTTTCATATGAGCTTGTAAACATGGGCAAAAAAAAAAAAAAAAAAAGTAATTTTAGTTATTATTTTGGGCCAGGGGAATAGGAATGAAGAAAATATATCCCAAGTCTATTCAAATGATCAATGCATTTCGCATTTCCCTTAGCATGCTTAATTCCTCATGCTTTAGGTATCTCAAGGGAAGAGCTATGTATAGACTTCAATCAAGAAACTGATTCATAAGATACAGAGAACATTTTGACAGTTGCCAGATGGGATGAGGGTTGGGGAGAGGAATGGGTGAAAAGGTGAAAGGATTAAGAAGTACAAAGTGGTAGTTACAAAATAGTCATGGGGATATAAAGTATAGCATAGGGAATCTAGTCAATAATATTGTAATAACTACATTCAGATGGGTACTAGATTTATTGGGGTGATCACTGTGTAAGTTATATAAATGTCTAAACACTAGGTTGTAAACTAATACAATATTGTAGTCATCTGTAATTAAAAAATTTAAAAAATATAAAACAAAACCTGTTATCAAGGACTTTATGTTGCCAAGTAGTAAGTAGAACCATGAGTTGATAATTTTCATACAGATATTTTTTCATCAAGATATCAGCAAATATAAGAGTTGAATTGATTTTTGTAACTAAACTGACAGCCTAGCCGAAATCGGTTTGGCTCAATGGATAGAGCGTGGCTTGGGGACTGAAAGGTCCCAGGTTCAATTCCAGTCAAGGGCATGTACCTTGGTTGCGGGCACATCCCCAGTAGGGGGTGTGCAAGAGGCAGCTGATCAATGATTCTCTCTCATTAATGTTTCTAACTCTCTATCTCTCTCCCTTCTTCTCTGTACAAAATCAATAAAATATATATTTTTAAAAATAAAATAAACTGACAGCCTACATATAAAATAAAGTATTAATTTAGGTGATATATTCCATGTTTTCACAGTTTGAAAATTTGGAACCAGCTATGTAGTGTTAGAAGAAATTTCACTAAAGC